TTTGCGTTGTGGAATACTTCACCACCCCCACCCCCGCCCCCCTGTATAGATTGACACAACCACAAGTGTGGCTACCCTAGCATGGTCTGACAGTATATTTCTATATACAATGATACATTATATAATATATATAATGTATATGCATCGTCAAACAGAGCTGCCCGCCGTGCCCGGTAAGGGTAAACCGTAGGCAGAGAGGGAGAAGAGGAGAACAAACGAGGGGCTGTGACAAACTGTTTCGCCGGAGTTTCACCGACTCATTGGGATAGATATGTCCTGTTCTCCCTCAGAGTCTCTGCCTACGGTTTAACGGGCAGTTCGATATGTATATACATTTGGCGATATATGTATGTAGTCGGTGAAACTCCGATGAAACAGTTTGTCAAATGTATATTGCAGCCCCTCGCTTGTTGTCCTCTTCTCCCTCTCTGCCTAAGGTTTACCGGGAGGCTGGAGCTCTGTTTGGGCTGTGACAAACTGTTTCGTCGGAGTTTCACCGACTCATCATATATATAGTATATTATACGTAGTTGCTATGCACCTGTGCAATGTGTGCTCAGCCGATGCACGCACGACTGCCCCTGATGTGCCCTCGCCATTTTTTTTCTTTTTTTTTGGTGTGTGTGTGTGTTGTCATGTTCCCTATCAGCATGGCTCGCATGTGAACTCCCATCTGCGTGGTGTTGTGAATATGCATCCAACTCGGAAGCCAGTTCAACTTGATGTTCCTCTAAAGGTTGATGATGGCCTTAGTAGCATGGAAGGAAGACATACGAGAGCAAACCCATGATCCAACGTCACGAAGACGAGATTGAAGAGCTTATTTAAGAGTAGACAGATTTAATTTAGCGATGTTGCGATGTAAGCCTCGCAAGTCATGCATGCGCTGAGAAAAGAACTCACCACTGTCTCTGGCGCTCCTTTAGGCGGCATTGGTAAGTTCCTCGGAGGTGGTCCCCCCGTCCAACTCCGCTTATCGAACCGCCACTCCCCATATTGCCCAGGCGTGAATTCACCCTGCAATACAAGCAAGACATAACCGATGAACATTATTATGAAATCAAATTGAATGGAACCGGTTCAAATGCGATCATGTTATATATCAATTATTATCAAATAAATTTTCATTCAATTAAACTCACCCTCGAGTAAAATCACATTGAGCCAAATCAACATCAAAATCACGGTAAGAAAATCAAAACCCAAACCAAAATAAAAACAATCAAAATCAAAACCAAAATAAAAATCAAAACCAAAATCAAAATAGAAATCGAAATATACAAAGCGACGGCAGGTAATGCTCTCGGTATTTGGCAAAAAAAACGACCCCCCCCCCAAAAAAAAAAACAAAATCAAAATTAAAAAAATTCTAAATCTAAAAAATTGAAATTAAATTAAAATTCTAAAAATTCTAAATCACCATTGAATCAGAATCAAAGTGAATCCTATCGAGTTAAAAATTCACATGAAATCATGTTGCAGGCTTCACATTAAATCAATTTCAAACTTCAAAGTTCAAACTTACAAATTCAAACTTTCAAATTCAAATTTTCAAACTTTCAAATTCAAATTCAAAATTCAAGCTTTCAAGTTCAAACTTTCATAATCAAATTTCAAATTCAAATTCAAATTCAAATTACTTTCAAATTCAAATTCATCTTCAAAAAACTTTCAAATTCAAATTCAAAGTTACAAATTCAAATTCAAATTCAAATCAAATCAAATCTTGAAAAAGGTGAAATGAAATAACTTCAAAATTCAAATAAGCTCAACTCAAATTGAATCACAGCAATCTGAAAAGTGAAAAAACCAAACCTGATCTGTGCATTTGAAAATTGAATTGAACGAGCAAACTAAGCACACATTGCCTAATTCGGTTTCGGTCTGCACCTCAGGAGTCAGAACTCTGTTCTTTTTTTTCTTTTTTTTTTTTTCTTTTTTTTTTTGTTTGAGCTCCTTGCCCAGTCAGGGGAGCATCAGAGTGCAGTTTCTAGGGGGAGGCACAGCGACTGGACCATCGAAGAAGCTCGGTCCTGATGCGACCAGCTGACCTCTGGCCGGTATCGCCCACCTGCTGAAGCAGGGATCACACCTGCTGGTGGGTGCAGCTCCCGCATGTTCCCTCTTTGAAAACGGTTGTGGCGGCTAAGGGGTTCTCCGTAATAATGTAGTGAATCAGCATGGTAACCGTCCGGACGTCCGGACCGGGTTCCAGACAGTCCGGTGTCCGGTGTCTGGACAATATGTCTGGATTGAGGCCTCTGGGGCAAAAATCAAAAAAAAAAATGRGGCGGCCSAGGACGTTTRTCGGGTCCTGGCCGCCCCTAGAAAAATAATGGGTTGATTTTTCAATGTCGTTTCACCCCACCGGACAGGGCCTAGAGGTCCAGACACAAGACACTGCAGGTTTTTGGGG